TAGGACAGAAATAACTGGACAGCTGCAAGTCTCAGGTACTCAAAGGTGGTACCTTCCAAATGTAGAAAAATAATGTGCCTTTATATCTAAAGGAATACTAGCATATTATGTTTGATTTTAAGAACAGTTAATTCTGTTTGAGGGTAATTAATGTGTAGAGAAAAATCTCACATATATGATCAACGGCTTCGAGTTTTAAAAAATTTCAGCGGCACTAATTTTGTATTCCTCTAGCTGTAAAGATAGACTACAGTACTATGATGACTTTCATTGTCCATGCCTTGGAGGAAGAAAAACAATAAATCTTAGAAACTACCACAAAAATTACTAAAATAGCTTTTCTGTATATGATGTTACTATTTTAAGACCAGATTGTGACCGAATGGACCCCTGTATTCACACCCTATACACCACTGTAATAATCTTTACACAGAATAGGCCTTGTGAGGTATTATTTGAAACTAATAGCTTGATGGTCAATGATATCATGGTGAAATGTATGTAGTAACATTATATGTAAAGCGATGAACACAGAAGGAGGTTACTTGCTGTAATTGGAGGTTCTTTGAGATATGTGGTCCCTATCTGTTTTCCACATGTGGGTACACATGGTTGCAATGTGCCAGAGTTCAGAAATTCTTCCATGCAGTGTCCATTGACTTGCATATGCGCAGTATCTTCCCGCATGCTTCTGTCCAAAGGTATAAGGGGCAGTTCAGGTTGACCCCTCTCCAGTTCCCCCTCTTACTGCAATGTAGTAGGGTCTGAAGCAGAGGTGAAGGAGGGCGGATAGTGGAAAACAGATAGGGGACCATGCATCTCGAAGAACCTCCAGCTACAGTAAGGAACCTCCAGTTCTTCTTCATGTGGGTGACTCACAAGCAGTATTCAGTCTGGAGGAGAGTGTGATGAAGTTGACAGCAACGATGCTTGCAATACTGCTGTTCCCACTGTTGCATCCACAGCTGCCACTTGAATCAGGGTGTAGTGTGCCATAAACGTGTGGATAGAGCACCAAGTTGCTGTTTTGCAAATGTTCTGCAGCAGGACATCTGATAAGGATGTCATGGAGGCTGACTATGCTCGTGTGGAGTGGGGTTGTAACACCCCCATGGGTGCGGGGGGTAGGGGGGAGGAGGGCAGAGAGAGAGGAGCTTTGCTATTTTGTATTATTCTAATATGCATCCTGAGATCCACATAGAGATTCTCTGTGACGATATGGCTTGTTCACATGACCTTTCTGCGATGATGACAAAAGCCTTGTAGATTTCCTAAAGTAGGGTTACCATATTTAAAAAATAAAAAAAGAGGACACTCCACGGGCCATAGCCCCGCCCCTTTCCTGCCCCGGCCCCGCCCCAACTCCATCCTTTCCCGCCCCTTCCCCAAAGTCCCCGCTCTAACTCCCCCT